TACAGTTCCCCGAAAATAAGACAGGGTCTTATATTTATTTTCCTCAAGACACCCTAGGGCTTATTTTCAGGGATGTGTATTTTTTTTAAGTACGGTACAACCATCTACATTGATTCAAATATATGTTAAGTCGTCTTCTTCTGGAACATCATTGTAACTCTCCAAACCCCAAATTCCATCCTGAATCTCTTGCGACTCTATTTCCTTTAGGACCATCGGCCCCGATCTCTCCTGTCGAGCACTAGAGCTCTCACAGGGGCGGATGAGAAGGGCTGCTCATGTTCTTTCCCGCTCTGCGACCACATGCATGGGTTGTGCAGATGCGCCGCGCAGCCACGCCCATCACTAGGGCTGATTTTCATAGCCACGCCCACCACTAGGGCTGATTTTCGGGCTAGGGCTTCTATTGCGCACATGCTTAGACATCCTGCTAGGGCTTATTTTATGAGGAGGGCTTATTTTCGGGGAAACACGGCATATGAGTGATGCCCATGTAGACCATCCAGCCCAGCCCAGAAACCCACGGAATCATGTGTGTTGTTTTAAGCCACTAAGTTTTAGCGTTGGTTGTTACAACTCTAACTGATGCTCATCATGAGGCTCATCATGAGGGGGAAAATCCCTTTTTCACTAGTTTAGTTCAGAAGTTTTTATTTGTATGTTTTAAAGTAGAGGGTGACATGTTTAAGCACGTAAAAGGTTATTAATCAGATTAAAGCTGATCTGTTATCTAGTTTCACTGTTACTCACATTAAAATGGATGTAAAATACTTCTCCGAAGTCATCACCTTCATCATCCAGAAGCGTTTGCAAACTCCTAAAGAACAAATAGTTTTGTTTTTAAAAGAGCAATCATCAAGATCACGCTAGACACACCATCGAAAATACAGGTCAAGCGCAAAGCTATTCGGAAGGAAAGCAGGAGGTCAGGTACGGTTCAGAGCACCCATCTCTCTGAGTACTGACACCCTCCCTAACTGCAAGCATGAGGCGCAGGAAGTTTGTAACCCTGCAGGCTCCCTGCCTGCTCTGCAGCTCTGTTCCTTTGCCCATAGTTTCCTTTGCCCACTGATTATAGGTTTCTATTTACAAAAGGACTGATCACATGTTTGCTGATGCTGAAACACATTCAAACTGGTGCTACCTTCATTTAAGTTTTTGAACTTACTTACAGAACAAATAATAGGTCTCCTGTTAAATATCAATTATCACAGGAAATTTCTACTGCTTCTTTTGTGGTTTGCCTTCTTGGATACTTAGTTAATTTTTCTTATGAATATGTAAGAATACTTGATACAGCAGGGATAGTAACCCTTTCTATTATATATGTTGTCAATTTTTTGTGAGGTGGTGGCTTGTCTTTTAACTTAAAAATAAGTTCAGACCGAGTACTACGGGGGCCACGTCCTATAATTCTATGCAACTCTGGATGGCTTTTGAGCGGGCAGATGCTCAAGTTCCAGAGTTTCGAAAACGCGCTGAGCAAGAGTAGACCGTCTCTACTGTAAATAGAAGTACAGAAATTAATTTGGCCACTATGAGTACATATAGATAAAAAATAGCTGGGCATTTGTGGTGCATTGCTGTAGTCCCAAGCTTACCCAGGGCTTAGCAGGAATTGCTTTAATCCGGAATGAGTGCTGTTATGCTGGCTGACATCCACAGCACTCACTCTTAGCCTGACAGTGAAAGATCTTTCTCGAAGAGGAGAAGATAGAAAGAGAAGAAAAAGAAAAAGAGGAAGGAATAGGATGTGATGTGGAAGGAAGAGAAGAGAAGAAGAAGAGAAGGAAGAAGAAGAGATAGGCACTAGCGAACGGAAGGAAGGAAGAAGGAAGAAAGAGGAAGGAGGAAGAGGAAGAAGAAGGGAAGAAGAAGAAGAGAAAAAGAAAGAAAAACGAAAAAAGAAGAGACAAGACAAGAAAGAAAGAAAGAAATAAAAGAAAAATAGAAAAGAAAGAAATGCCAATAAATAATACAAAAAAGTAGCCGGCATGCTGGATACATGCCTGTGAGTCCACACTCAGGAAGCTGAGCAAGGATTCACTTAGCCAGAGTTGAGGTTGCTGTGATCTAGGCTTGCACACAGCATCTAGCTAGGCAACAAGAGACTCTTCTTAAAGAAAAAAAGGAAGTTTCCTTAAAGTATGACACTAAAAATAATCGAGTATAACATTACTTGAGATTGCACCATAGTATAACTGATGCTCTGCCAAAATATTCCCACACAGGAAAGTCAGATAATGCAAGAATTGATGTGTACTAGTCATGGCAAAACTACTCCTCTTCTTTTGTTTTTTTTTTTTTTTTTTTGAAGACAGATCATCGCTTGGGCCAGGCTAGAGAGGCCGGGGTCAGCTATAGCTCACCAGCACCTCAAACTCTGGTCAAGCGACTCTTGCTCAAGCTCTAGTAGCGGTACATAGCATTGTGGCACCAGTCGGATAATTTTCTATATATTATTAGTTGGCAGTTATTCTTTCTTATTTACAGTAGAGATGGGTCTTGTTCTGCTCGCTGTTGAACTCCTGACCTCTAATATCCGCCCCTCGGCCTCCCTGATGTGCTAGATTGAGGCGACCCAGCACCTGCAACTCTTCTTTAATTTTAGAGAAAATTATACCCAACAATGCTGGCCAAAGTTAAAATTGGTTTAAGGTACCTAAAATGCTATATGAACCTGAAAAATGAATATCTGGTCTGGTGTTAAATATTACAATACATTGTTACTAGGGTCCTTTCAGGAACATATGTACTTACTCCCAAAACAGGACTGATTTTAAGTCTCAGTGGATGTATGGCCAAAAGTTTCTTAAACAGCGCAAGCGGGAAAGGGATATCAGCAACATTGCAACTGAACAGAACCCACACAGACCCCAAAGAAGAAATATCTCTTCTCCTCATATTTAGGCTGAAAAGAGAAAAAAAAATAAAGTGATATATGGTTTTTATCATGACTATAAAATGATTATTATAAATAAACTTTTTTCCTCTTTCAGAAAATCAAATTACATATTAAAATTTTAAAACCCCTGAGCTTAACATATTTAGGATTAATTTGGTCACACAATAAATCCCTGCCACAGTTGGTTGATAAAAGATACACAAGAATAAAAACACATTAGGCTCAGTATCATTATAAACTACTGGTTTTCAGAATTTCTTTCCATAGCCTTTGTCTTCAAATTCATCAGGAAAATAGAACAGAAACAAAGAATGAGGGCCTAAGAAAAGGTTCTATTATCTATACATTCTAAAAAGTGAAAAAAATATATTGCTTGAGTTCTGCAGTGTGAACAGGCATGGGAACCAAGGGAAAAGGGACCTCTATTTAAAGGAAAAATCACCTGGTCTAGAATTGAAGATTATCATTGATCAAAACTCTTCCTAATATGAAAGACTTGTCTAGACAGGCTTAATTTCTATGTTGATGTGTGCACTTTCTGTCACAAAATACCATAAGCAAAGAAAAGAGGAGACGTACCCTGACAAGGAAACCACATGTAGGAAGCCTCTTCAGGATACGAGAACATCCCATATTCTGGCCGGGTCATCTCTTGAAACACCCCAAAGAAAGAAAACCTTCGTCTCCTAGATCCTAACTCTAGTTCAGTTTCTCCACGAAACGAAACCTGAGGAAACAGAGCAAACGATACACATATCACTTCCAGGGCCGTATGTTGCTATGAATGAAGTCTCGTTTACTAATAGTAATAGCTCACATGAATTATGGCCAAGTATTTGGCAGACACTGTGGTAAGCATCTTACTCGTATTATCATATTTTATCTTCTCCATTAATTCTACGAGGGTAACAAGACCTCAAGAATTTATTTATTTTTTTATTTGTTATTTTTGAGACAGAGTCTCACTCTGTTGCCCAGGCTAGAGTGCCTTGGCGTCAGCCTCACTCACAGCAACCTCAAACTCCTGGGCATCAAGCGATCTCCTTGCCTCAGCCTCCATGAAGTAGCTGGACTACAGCACAAGCCCACCATGGCCAGTAATTATTTTTCTAGAATATGTTAGTTAGCCAATTAATTTCTTTCTATTTGAATATAGAGATGGGTGTCTTGCTCTGCTTCGCTTGTTCGAACTCCTGACTTGGCAATCCGCGGCTCGCCTCCCAGAGTGCTAGGGTTACAGGCATGAGCCACTCGCCCAGCCCTTGTTTGCTTCTTGAGGATGACATGTCCCCACTGGGCACAGCCATCCCTCCCCACCTTTGCTGCTTCAGGTGAGCCCTCCACTCCTGCCTTTCCTTCTCAGAATCCTTCATTTCGGTTGACAAATGTGTTGTTAAGGTCTCCCTTATTCTTAAAAGAAAAACAACAAATCCCAACACATCGTCTCCAAGACAGACGACATTGGCTCCTACTGTAGTTGCCAAGGGTCAGAGATGTACCCCAACCTCCAATCGGATTTCTCTACTTAAGTGATGCCCTTGAAGATGACCAGGAACCTGTGAATCCCCGGTTCCAAAGACTTCTTCTCACATCCCATCTCCCTGATTTTGTGAAAACTCATTTTACATCCTGACCACCTCCTTTTTATTGCCCCCCTTGCTTTCTTTTATGAAGAACTCTTCAGGTTTCTCTCTCCCTGTCTCTCTTTTCTCCTGCTGGCTTAATTTCCAGAACCAGAATTTCTATCAGTTCCATCCTGGCGCTTCTGTCCTTTTTCTCTGCTCTTACTCTAGATGCTCTTTTTCTCTTTATATGTTGTGTATCACGTGTAGGCATTTAACCTTCAGATCCACTAGATTTTCTCTCCTGATTGACGGACACTCGTTTCCAGAGGCCTGTTTAACATTTCCACCCACGTGTTCCACTAGCACCTTCCTATAGCTCCTCTTCCTGGCTTCTTTATTTGGATAGATACCACTTCCATTCCCCAGAGATGCACATTTCAAACCTCAGGGAAACATTTAAAATCTCTGTAAAAAGACCAGGTGTCAAACCTTTTCCCTTCTCCTTACTATGGGCGAGCTGCCCAATCTCACAAAGCCTTAGTTTTCCTGCAACATTATCAGAAAGACTGCAGAGGTAACACAGGTAAAATGCGTCACACAGGGTCTGGAAAAATAGTGAATGCTCAGCGAAGGTTACCTGAACTTAAAAACAGGGTGAATGATATATAAAAGTAGAACTAAAATAACTGAGTGGATGGCTTGGCTGGCAAAGGTTAGGATCATATAACAAGTTCATTAGAGTTACAAAATTATCTGTGTGCAAAAACACATGGAAATGTCAACTCTAACTGTGAACTCCAGTGCAACATACTTTTAAAACAGTGTCTTGGTCGGGCGCGGTGGCTCATGCCTATAATCCTAGCACTCTGGGAGCCCAAGGTGGGTGGATCGCTCGAGGTCAGGAATTCAAAACCAGCCTGAGCAAGAGCGAGACCCCGTCTCTACTAACAATAGAAAGAAATTAATTGGCCAACTAAAATATCTAGAAAAAATTAGCTGGGAATGGTGGTGCAGGCCTGTAGTCCCAGCTACTCGGGAGGCTGAGAGAGAAGGCTTGCTTGAGCCCAGGAGTTTGAGGTTGCTGTGAGCTATGCTGATGCCACGGCACTCTAGCCCGGGGAACAGAGTGAGACTCTGTCTCAAATAAATAAATAAATAAATAAATAAATAAATAAATGAATGAATGAATGAATGAATGAAATAAAACAGTGTCTTGAACTGTAGTAAAGTCCATCTTTCTTTAATCTGAATAGGGTAAGTGATAAACTCAGGTCTCTTATCAAAAATATTTACTAAATATTATCAGGCCAATTTTTATTTATCTTGATTAACTGGAAAATCCCATGGCTGACGGTTGGGCCCAAATCCCGGCTCTGACACTTACCAGTTGGGTTACTCTTGGATATGCTACCTAACAGTTCTGTACCTCAGTTTCCCCATCTGTAAGTTGAGGGGAAACAGAACCTGCCACAAAATGTTGTTGAAAAAATTAAACAAGTGGCAAGTACTTAGAGCAGTTCTTGGTACAAGGAAAGTACTTAATAGATCTATTAGTTGTTATTATTCTGTGTTAAATAGTCAAATATGTACTAGCAAGACCAGTTATACACTAACTAAACCCAAACTCACTTGGGAATGTTTGGACCATGTGTAAATCTACAATCATACCCCAAATAACTGCAGTCATGAAATAGATAATTTCCCCTCTAAGACACTCTTGGTTACATTCTTATATGTTTTTCTTCTCTCAGCAGCAAAACTATTCAGTGAGAATGATACTTTACCCACAACTCCTTTCTTAGGTCTTCGTTCTCAGATTGACTTAGCTGCTCCAAAACATCCTCAATCAAGTGACTCCTCCTGACTGCCAGAGTAAAAGCAGGCCACAAAAAAGGGACGATTTCGGATCCTCTTTGTTCTATAATTTCTGCCAACCTCAAATAAGCTCTAATTTTTTTCTCCTAGGAAAACAGAAATGTTTTACTTCATTTTACCATTGGTCCTCTCTAAGTACAAATTTATAAAGTGAAATAAACTGGTCCGGTTTATAAGTGCACATCACATTTGCAAAAAGAGCCTCATATACACCACTGGAGATAATTTGGTCTCAGTGAGCAGAAGAAATGCAGGACCTGAAGAATGAAAGACTTCGGGGCTGGGTGCGGTGACTCACGCCTGTAATCCTAGCACTCTGGGGGAGGCCAAGGCAGGAGGATCATTTGAGCTCAGGAATTCAAAACCAGCCTGAACAAGAGCAAGACCCTGACTCTACCAAAAATAGAAAAAATTATCCAGGCGTGACAGCACGCCTGTAGTCCCAGCTATTCGGTAGGCTGAGGCAGGAGGATAGCTTGAGCCCAGGAGTTTGGGGTTACCGTGAGCTATGATGACACCACGGCACTCTAGCCTGGGGGACAGAGTGAGACTCTGTCAATCAGTCAATAAATCAAATAATGAAAGACTTTGGGGAGCCAACCTGGATTAGCAGGTACGTGACCAGCTGAAGATCTCATTGGACCACTTTATCCCATAAACACAATTATTAATGCTTAAGTTACCAAAGCTAGCTATCATTAATAGGCTAAGAGATGTATTAGCATCCACTAAAACAGTGCACTGAGGCACAATAGTATCATTCAGAAGAGAAGTTCAGATGTTTAGAGAGGAAGTAGGCTGTAGGAAAAATCCAGGTATGTCAGACCTCTCAAAGATAGTGTCTTCTAGGAGGAAAACCTAGATGAGAGAGAGAGAGAGAGAGAGAGAGAGGGAAACAGGGAGAAAGAGAGACCATTCATTCTGAAACCAAATGGCAATTTGAGGTCATTAAAGTCTGTGGTTCTTAGCAGAAGCAGGAGCAATTACATATCAGTTCCATAAAATTACCACTGGAAGCTTGTGTAAAATTAAGAGAGAATAGGTTGTAAGAGTTGAAGCAAAACAAAGTTCTTATATCTTTCTTCTTTCAATTTTCTTTGTTAAATATTTCATTAATGGTCATGCTTAGAACTCATAATAATGAATCAGTTTCCTGTTTTGTTTTATTAATGCAAATGCATTATGTGAGAGTATCCATTTTAAGGACATACATCTGAATATTATGCCTACATATATATATGTCTGCATATGTAAAAGTGGCAGTAATACCTAACACCTTTGGGTACTTTGTGTAAGGCACTGTTTTAAATGCTTTACCTATATTAACAAATCTAATCCTTATAAAAATACAACAAAGGAGGGATTACCTGATATATTTCCCTGGGTATTTTCAATTGCCCAATTTTAAGCTCAAAACCACTTTGCTGGATATATCAACAAACACAACCGCCTCAGTTGGTGACAGTACTGCACATTGAAAAAAGGGGACTTTTTACAAACCTTTATTATGGTGCCATCACAGACTACCAGCCATTGATCCGGGTCCTAATTTCAAGTATGCTCTGCTTCACCTCCATTCTTGCTGCCATATCTTTTCATGAGATTGTACCTACTTTAAATATTGGTGCTAGTCCTGATCAAGCCCAAGTCCGTTGTACCTCTTTGAGTACTACTCAGAAGACCAAGGGCTGCTGCTGCCAACTTCAAGTAAAAACCCAACAACTACATCGGTTGCCCAAGCTCTGTCCTTCGCTACCAAGGCCCTAACATGTGTTAAGGCCAAGCCAACCCAAATCATGACAATCTGCCTTGCCTTCTTCCGTGAATGCTTTGACCATTGGTTTCACCAGAGGACTGCTCCCTTATCACCCCCAAAATATCCATGCTTAAGATGGTACTTATCGTGTGGGTTATGCTAATGAAGACAAAGAAACAGCCATACATACCTTTTTTAAAAATGAGTCTGAATATAGTAGTTTAGTTTTCGACAGAGTGTTAAAGATAAATGGAAAGTGACTGAATAAGACGCAACACTGTACATCTGCAGCCTCCTAAAAATGGAAATGACAATAATTCCGATAAATTAAATGACAGAGAAATCTTTCACCTAGCATCGTTGGTGGTATAAGGTGTCGGTACTTCTAGGTAAAGCAATCCAGACTGCTGATCAGTGGTATTACCAGTAGAAAATGTGTTTTATATGTATCAATGAAAGGTATATAAACCTAGAATCTTCAACGCCCATTTAATTTAGCAACTAATACCAACTTTGGACACTTTCCCAAAGAGTATGCTCTGCTGCCACTGAGTTTCTGCAATGTGAATAGCAATGTGGTTAACAGGGGAATGACAGAACGTGGATGGCTGGTTAGCTCATACATGATTTTTGCTGGGCAAGGGTCCAAGTGCTACAAGGAGTAGAATCATAACCTTCAGAGAAAGGCAAAACACCCTAGGTCACCTGCTGTGCTGGCAGCAGGAGCCCTTCAACTGTATTTTGGGAAAATAAAAAAGGAATTCCTGTACCCAAGACACCCTCCCCAATGCTTCAGCCCTTTGCTGCCAGCTCTTGACTCTTGGCTGCTGGTGAGTTGCCTTCTACGGAGCTCCACTTCCACCTGTGTTGTCTCAGTCCTTTTCTAATTAGAGCATGGATGGATTTCTACTCTTTCCTTTTTGTGCACTTTTCACATTTTCATAGCACTCTCCATGAGCTGCTAGCCTGGTTGATCCAAGTTATCTCCAAGGTATCGATCACTTTTGTGCTAGTGCTCTGCCTACAAAACTGCACAGATTTTGAGAAGTCTTACTTTTCCCATAAGCCCTGCTATTCCTAGTGTGCAATTTTGTAGACACGAGGTTTCCCAGAAACTCAAGTCGAAAGTTATAGCAGAGGCTGGCTGCGGTGGCTCACGCCTGTAATCCTAACACTCTGGGAGGCCGAGGAGGGCGGATTGCTCGAGGTCAGGAGTTCGAAACCAGCCCGAGCGAGACCCCGTCTCTACTAAAAATAGAAAGAAATTAATTGACCAACTAAAAATATATATACAAAAAAAAATTTAGCCGGGCATGGTGGTGCATGCCTGTAATCCCAGCTACTCGGGGGGCTGAGGCAGGAGGATTGCTTAAGCTCAGGAGTTTGAGGTTGCTGTGAGCTAGGCTGATGCCACGGCACTCTCTCTAGCCTGGGCAACAAAGTGAGACTCTGTCTCAAAAAAAACCTAGGAAAAAAAAAAGAAAGAAAGAAAGAAAAGAAAGTTATAGCAGAAATGCCTATAGTGACTCAATGTCGAAAGTTATAGCAGAAATGCCTGCAGTAACTCAATGTCAAAAAGATATAGCAGAAATGCCTGCAGTAACTCACTGATTATAAATTCCCCCCTTTAAACAGGGCCACACCTACCGGGCTCATTTTCCAAGAGGACCTCCTTCTTGCTTCTTCATAAAAATTGAGGTAGTTCGAGAGTTCGTCTACTTCGAAAATATTTTCAGGCAGTTGACATTTAGTCTGGTTTACCTTAAATAAAATATGATTTATGAGATTCAGGCAGTTGACATCTAGTCTGGTTTACCTTAGATAAAATATGACTTGTGACTGGAGACTAAGAAAATCGAGTCATTGAAATCAAGCTGACACTGCTGTTAGCCTTCTTCATGAAAAGGTAGATAGAACAGGTCTTGTTTGCAAAATAAATCTAAGACCTCGTTATCTACCAGTAGCAGAAGAAAATAAAACATGACTTGTGAGAAAGTTTTACATTTAAAAACAATTTTGGGCCGGGCGTGGTGGCTCACGCCTGTAATCCTAGCACTTTGGGAGGCCGAGGCGGGCGGATTGCTCAAGGTCAGGAGTTCGAAACCAGCCTGAGCGAGACCCCGTCTCTACCAAAAATAGAAATAAATTAATTGACCAACTAAAAATATATATACAAAAAATTAGCCTGGCATGGTGGCGCATGCCTGTAGTCCTAGCTACTCGGGAGGCTGAGGCAATAGGATCACTGAGCCCCGGAGACTGAGGTTGCTGTGACCCAGGCTGACGCCACGGCACTCACTCTAGCCTGGGCAACGAAGTGAGACTCTGTCTCAAAAAAATAAATAAATAAAAAAAATAAAAATAAAAACAATTTTGCCTAATGGCTGTTAATTAGATTATCAGATTAAATTGTAAATTAAACGCTCTTTTTGATGACCAGAATAAAATTATATCCAATTCCTCCATTGCCAAAGGCTCTAATTTTCATGGACATAAAGAATAGCAAATATTTAATAGTAAACACTGGTGATAGGATGATAAACTCATGCAGAAAGGGGTTGCTTCATCCTCATCGCTCCTTATGGGCCTCTTCTCGGGTGGGGGATTTCTAAATAAACTCACCCTGTGCAGCTTTTTCAGCATTTCTAGGAGAGCTTTAACATGACAGCTATTCTCAGCACTTCCAGCCCAATAATGCAGTTCAGAGACGAGGGCACTTTTAAACATCTGGACCAGTTTGCCAAAAGCAGATTCTTGCAGAGTTGCCCAATACTCCTCTGAGGAATACAAAGAAGGCACATTTTTTGAAAAGTAAATTTCATTGTGTATATTTGAGGTTTACAAGTTGATGTTATGGGATACATATCATAACAAAATGGTTACTATAGCATAGCAACTCATCTCACATGATTACTTTTTTGTGACAAGAGCAGCTAAAATCTACTTATTTAATGAAAAAACCCCTAATACAATATAGTTTTATTAACTGTAGTCCTCATGCTGTATATTAGACTTGTTGATCTTCCATATCTCCTTCTTTGTAACCTCTGACCTATATCTCCATATTTTCTACCCACCCCCCAACTCCTAGCTGCCACTAGTAACCACTATTTTATTATCTATTTCTGTATATTTGACCTTTATAAAGAAGGTCAATATAATTTTTAGCATGTAATTTCTCTTGGATTCTTTTTATTTTATTTTATTTTATTTTATTTTATTTTATTTTATTTTATTTTATTTTATTTGAGACAGGGTCTCGCTATGTTGCCCAGGCTGGAGTGCAGTGGCTATTTGGGCACAATCCTAGGGTACTACAGCCTTGAACTGGGCTCAAGCAATTTCCCTGCCTCAGCCTCCTGAGTAGCTGGGACTGCTGGTGTATTGCCACCAGGCTCAGATTTCTCTTGGATTCTTCAAAGGTAAAAAGTGTCATATTTCCCCAAACACATAACAAAATATCTTAGTATAGATTATAATTACAAAAACACATTTATAATAAACTTTTCAGTGAATAAATACAATTGCAATTAAAAGTCTAGAATTTGCCGGGTGTGGTGGCTCACGCCTGTAATCCTAGCACTCTGGGAGGCTGAGTCGGGCGGATTGCTCGAGGTCGAGAGTTCGAAACCAGCCTGAGTGAGACCCTATCTCTACTAAAAATAGAAAGAAATTAATTGACCAACTAAAATATATATACAAAAAATAGCCGGGCATGGTGGTGCATGCCTATAGTCCCAGCTACTGGGAGGCTGAGGTAGAGGATCGCTTGAGCCCAGGAGTTTGAGGTTGCTGTGAGCTAGGCTGACACCACAGCACTCACTCTAGCCAGGGCAACAAAATGAGACTCTGTCTCAAAAAAAAAAAAAAAAAAGTCTAGAATTTAACATCTTGGAAGTATTCCTTGACAGTTAATAGAATCACAAACTTGATGTAATTAACTTGTGCAAAAAAAAAAAAATGCTGACAAAATTAAATTATCACATTCTTTGCCCCAATCAATAGTATAATAAAAATTAAGAATTTTTTGTGATTATACAACTCTTTTTGTGCTACCAGCCTAAGTTTTTTTGTTTTTTTTTTGAGACAGAGTCTCACTTTATTGCACAGGCTAGAGTGAGTGCCATGGCATCAGCCTGGCTCACAGCAACCTCAAACTCCTGGGCTCAAGCAACCCTACTGCCTCAGCTCCCAAGTAGCTGGGACTATAGCATGCACCACCATGCCTGGCTAATTTTTTTCTATATATATTAGTTGGCAATTAATTTCTTTTTTTTTTTTTTTTTTTTGAGACAGAGTCTCACTTTGTTGCCCAGGCTAGAGTGAGTGCCGTGGCGTCAGCCTGGCTCACAGCAACTCAATCTCCTGGACTCAGCGATCCTACCGCCTCAGCCTCCCAGTAGCTGGGACTACAGGCATGCGCCACCATGCCCTGGCTAATTTTTTGTATATTATTTTTAGTTGGTCATTAATTTCTTTCTATTTTGGTAGAGACGGGTCTCCTCAGGCTGGTTTGGAACTCCTGACCTTGAGCGATCCGCCCGCCTCGGCCTCCCAAAGTGCTAGGATTACAGGCGTGAGCCACCACGCCCGGCCAGCCTAAGTTTTTAACTCTTAAAAAATATTTTTCAGCATTTTAAAAAACAAAAAGCGCTATAAAGTATTTCATTGCTTACAATGCTATATTTAATATTTAATAAAACATAAAAAATGAACTTCCTTGGGCTGAATATGCTATATATATAAAAAACTCCATTAAAGTCTATGCATCCCCCAGACCTAACTTCTAATGTACTGGAAATACAGGGAGAGAAAGAAACAATCAGATAATCTGGATGTGGGACATTCCACAAAACAAGTGACTTGGATTCTTAAAAAAAAAAAAAAAAAAAGGCTGTAAAATTACTTTTTGGGAAAAATGTAGAAATTTGAATATGGCCTGAATATTAGATGATGTTATGGAATCATGGCAAATTTTCTTAGGCATGATAATGACTTCATGGTGAGGTAGCATTCTATATTCCTAAATGAATGCTGAAATATGACAACTGAAATCTCATGTCTTCAATTTACTTTCAAATAGCTCATCAAAAATAAAATGTCATGTGTACGTAAACAGAGCAAAAACACATATGGCAGCATATTTATTATTGCTACTCTAGGTAGAGGGTACATGAGTATTCATTGCACTAGTCTTTCAATTTCTCTGTGTTTGTGAAATTTTCTATAATGACAAGTTATGAGGTTGCTGTGAGCTAGGCTGACGCCACAGCACTCTAGCCCAGGTGACAGAGTGACACTCTGTCTCTAAATAAGTAAATAAATAAAAGACCTCAAGACCTAGCTGTGCATGTATCATTCCAACACCTCTAAAAAGGCACTTAGAACAATCTACTTTAGATGACTGCAATAATTATTATAGCATCTTCAGAGTATGCTAAGAATATGAACTAAAAAACATGAACGCATTTATAACGGTCTAAGTTTTGCCATAACATTAATAGGCATGTCTTTCCATTGAGAAGATGAGTAAAGTATTTTCAAATGTAAGTCATCAATCTTACCCAGAACCCATGAAGACTGGTCACTCAGTTTACAAACAGCCTCTGCAAACAGAACCACCAGGATCTCCCAGTTGTTACCTTCATGCATCACGGGACATTCTGGGAGGAGGAAGAATACCGCTAAGGCTTCTTGGTGCGGAGAATGAAATGTAAGGTTTTTGAGCAGATTATCCCTGAGACAGATGGTTATCTGCGGTCAGAAAGGAGCAGAGAAAAGGCATTCAAAACTCAGCATGAATTGGGTACAACTGAATCGTAATAAAACAAGGTACAGAACCTGGAATTTCATTCCAACACTAAATTAGAATAATCATTTAGTTTTTCTAAAATCCACGTTTACATCCCATCTTATCTAGCCTTCCAGATATGTGAGATATTTGGGATGTGTGACAAGTATACTCCCCATTCAACTGTTGGGGTGCACAGAAGAGATCAAGAAATCATACATGCAAGGGTTACACTGGATGAACAATGGATTCAGAACTATCAGGCAGCCCTCTCTCAATAAGTTCATTTTACCCTTGTTTTACACTATCACACCTAATTTTTTTTTAAATTTTTTTTAGCCAAGGTGATCACTGTGGGAACCTAACTTTTTAGAGGAAGAATTTGTCAGAACCCCCAAAAAAGTAAAATAAAATTAAAAATCAAAAGACAGCAGGAAGCGAGCGAGCTGCTATATCCCAGCAGGCGTGAAGCTGAGCGGAGAGGCGTGTTGAGCTCGAGGAGTCGGGAGACCAGGCGACAAACGAGACCCGTCGTGAGCGAGAAAAGAGAGAGGAGAGAGCTGGAGCAAGCGAGAAAATATGAGAGAGAGCGAAGGCAGGGGCGAGGGTGGCACATGCCTGTAGTCCCAAGCTACTTGGGAGACTGAGGCAGGAAGATTGCTTGAGACCAGGAGTTTGAGGTTGCTGTGAGCTAGGCTGACACCACAGCACTCACTCTAGCCTGGGCCACAAAGCGAGACTCTGTCTCAAAAAAAATAACAATAAAATAAAAACCCATTATGATGATAAGACTATGCAGACAAGCTAATATTTTTGGAGTACTTATTATTTGTCACATATTACACTAAGTGATTTACATATATGGGCCGGGGGGCGGGGCCGGCGGGGAGTGGTTGATTAGGTCATTAATCGGTAGTTTCTCCATTACATAGATGGAGTTATTAATCTTTTTATAGATGAAAGAATCTGTGCTTAGAGAGTAGAGTATTGTCAAGTCACCAGCTACTAAGGGAGATTTTCTGGATCTTTCTGACTCCAAAGCCTAAACTCTTAATCATTATGAATACTGACTAATGATATCTTAAATGAAATTCGATAATATAATCTATTTTAATTAAAATTATATTGCGGCTGGGCACAGTGGCTCACACCTGTATCCTGGCACTCTGGCCTAGGCGGTTTAGAGTGCTCAAGTCAGGAGTTCCGACCAGCCTGAGCAAGAGCGGCCCTGTCTCTACTAAATAGAAAGAAAAGAATTGGCCAACTAATATTTACAGAAAAAATGAGCCGGCATGTAGTGCATGCCTTGTAGTCCCCAAGCTACTCGGAGCTAAGCAGGAGATGCTTGGCCCAGAGCGTGGAAGTTGCTGTGAGCTAAGCTGATGCCACAGCACTGTAGCTCGGGCAACAGAGTAAGACTCTGTCTCAAAAAAAAAAAAAAAATTATATTGGACTCCTACGATGAGGTTCAGCCCTTGAAATGACACATACCTGACAACTCTTGTTTTAATGGCTCAATGGCTCACACTCCTCCTATCTCCTTGTTCATCATCAGCCACATCCCCAACCCTCTGGCCTCCTCCAAACTCTTTAGAACTATCAGGATACTCTCAAACCAGTTTTATTGTTTCATACACTGTGCTTGCTGTACACTTTGCTGGCTGCCTGGAATGCCCTCATCCTTGTAGGCACCTGGTAAATTCCTAACTCCTCTGGGTAGCTTGTTTTGAGTACTCTAAGTAGAGTTGACCATTCGCCATCCTAATAATGACTGAATTCATCCAAAAATGTTTACAGTACACTCACTACATTCTAAGACAGGCAGTAGGGAACATGGTGGAGTGTAAAACACACCCAGCCTTTGCACTAAAGTATGTATGTATGTATCTGTCTGTCTCACTAAACCATGAGCTTCTACAGGACAGGGATCATGTCTCTTTCATTTTTCATCTTTATGTGCCCAGCACACAGCAAGGATTCAAATGCTTGCTAAATAAATGAACAGATGCCAAAAGTCTGTGAGTCCATAGCACAGAAAGAAACATTACAGGCCTCCTAATCCAGCTAGCCCCTTCTGAAACAACGGAGGTGGAAAATGCCCTATGATTATGTCACTTATATATTAGATGTTGTTTTCCAGGAACAATCAAGGTATAATTAGCAAGCAGGAAAGCCCTCAGTTGATGAACCGATGCAATCCCTTCCCTTCACAGGTGCGGAAATGGCCTTCTAGCATTGGTGATGTTTCCATGGCTGTATTCAGTAGCAATGACTCAGAATCTTACGGAAAGAAAATTTAAACTGGCCCCAACAGGAGGATTTTAAATAATGAAAGAAAATCAGCAGGAACAAATGTTGATAAAATAGTCCACCAGGTAGTTCTTTGGTTAATGTTACAGGCAGGACTAATGGGGTACCCAATAGGGATCCACTTTACCTTTTACCTCAGTCCCCTAATGGGGTTCTGCCAAAGTTACCAGTATTAAACTTTCCAGCTTCCCTTGAAAGAAAGGAGAGAAAACTTGCAGCTAAAATAGAGAATGAAGCAGGTAGGGGAGGGGGAGAGAGGGGAGAAAGACTGAAAGGGAAAGAGAAGTGAGATACAGAAACAGAGGGAGAGATCAAACAGGGGAGTGAGGAGGAGAAGAAGGAAAGAAAAAGAAAAAAGAAGCAACCACAGTGAGACCCAGGAGAAAAAGATTGAGAGAACACAGGAAGTACTATCCCTAGATCAACCAGTACAATAAAACAGAAAAATAAATTAATAAAGGGTGCATTAAGAATGGATTGATTTAATAGTATTAATTTAGAAAGGATGTCCGGAGCATCTGCAAGTAGAAACCTATTGGTACAGAAACAGGAAGAATAGTCCTAGAAAGAATGAGAAAATTCTAGAACCCACAGAAAAGAAAGTACAATGGAACAAAACGGAGAGAGGAAGAATCCAGGCAGTCCTTGGTGAGGGGGATATTCATATCAGACAAGATGCTGTCCTCATTCTCTATACTTCATGCTTCAAAATCATTGCATATAAGGTTCTTATTCAGGCAGGCAAGATGGCTCACCCTGTAATCCTAGCAACTCTGGGAGGCCGAGGGGGGGGCGGATTGCTCGAGGTCAGAGTTTGAAACAGCCTGAGCAAGAGCGAGAACCGCCTCTCAACTATAATGAAAGAAACTAAATTGACCAACTAATATAATGTAGAAAAAAGTACCGGGCCATGGTGGCGCATGCCTGCAGTCCAGCTACTCGGGAGGCTGAGGCAGTAGGATCGCTGAGCAAGGAGTTTGAAGTTGCGTGAACTAGGCTGACACCATGGCACTCACTCTAGCCTGGGCAACAAAGCGAGACTCTGTCTCAACAAAAATAATAAATAAATAAAATAAAATGTTCTTATTCTAGTGTGTCAGTTTAAACAAATCCTTCATCATCTTCCTAAAGCCCTGAGTTGAAAAATTCCCTCTAGGAATGCGTATGCATGTATGTGTATATGTGTTTATGTATAGAGGCACTATTTAGACTATTTGTAACCTATGTGACCATTCTACTTACTATTTCATCCTAAATGTGCAAAATCCCAAATGCTATCCTAGTTTAACTTAATCTGGACATGATACAGGGTCTCAGACAATCTCTTAAAACAAAATATTTCATTCTTCAAACAGCAAACAGAATAAATAAATAAATAAATAAATAAATTATTTGTTCTGAAATTTTGACTTCTTAGAAGAAATATTCTAGTGTATTTTCTTTCTCCAAATAACAATCTGAAGAATACCACCATGTTACTAATCCAGTCCTTTTGGGTTAATTCCTTAAAGATGTTTCTTGCTTTATTTAAGTCCAAATGAATAGACATCATTTCTGCAGCTCTCCTGTAGAAGGAAGATAAAATAAATGGATAAGTAAATGAAAATGGATATACTATTAAGTACTTTATTAGATTATGTATCTAGATGCAAAGTTTCTTCTAGAGCTTGCCTCATTTCAATAAAATTACCTTTTTTTCTCAACTTTATAATAACTCGGCTGAACACAAATACAATTGAAAATGTAGAAGACAATGTATGATTATTTCTAAAATGTCAAAAAAAACCAAGGCTGCATTAACTATCTACAACATAGGACAATTTTAACTCAGTCTTATTCAAAATAGACAATCAATAAGTATTTATTTCCCAGTAAAAAAAAGCCACAGAAAAAAGATAAAATTTTTCCCATTTCTGAAAAAAGATGACTATTTCTTTCAATTACATAAACTGAAAAGTGGAGACCAAAAGAAGGGACTTCAGAGCAGTAAATACTTAGTACTCCAACAGAAAATTATTAATGAAATACGTCTTAACCCATGAATAATGTTTATGTTGAAATGAATAGATTCACTATATGAAAAAACACACATTCTTTGTAAAATAATATGTATATTTATTGTCTAAAAATAGGAAAAAATTTAAAGAAATAAATATAATATTATACAAATATTTAGGAGAAAAAAGTTCAAAATTTTTCTTTCCTAATAATTAAAAATTAAAAAAACCTTTATTATCTAGCAATAAAGAAATAGTTAAATAAATAAAGGTCTGACCTTCTCATGAAATATCATGCAGCCCTAAAAATGATGTTACAGAAAAATACTGAATATGGGAAATCAATAAAATGAAAAAACATTAAGTAGAAAACAATATATGAAATACTATCTCATTCTTTGTAAAATATTTGCATATAAAAAAGATATACATATACATAAATGCTACCTATTACTGTTATGTGATGGATTATGGATCATTTTCACTTTCTTTTTGTTGTATGTCTGTATTTCCGGCATTTTCTACAAGCAAGCATGTATTTTTCTTTTGTCAAAAAAGTAGTTTTTTTTTTTTGAGACAGAGTCTTACTCTGTTGCCCAGGTTAGAGTGCTGTGGTGTCAGCCTAGCTCACAGCAACCTCAAACTCCTGGGCTCAAGCAATCCTACTGCCTCAGCCTCTCGAGTAACCAGGACTACAGGCATTCACCACCATGCCCGGCTAATTTTTTTTTCTATATATTTTAGTTGACCAATTAATTTTTTATTTTTAGTAGAGACAGGGTCTTGCTCTTGCTCAGGCTAGTTTCGAACTCCTGACCTTGAGAGATCCTCCCACCTTGGCCTCCCAGAGTGCTAGGATTACATGCGTGAGCCACCGCGCCCAGCCCAAAAAGTAATTTTTAAAAAGAGATAAACACATAGCTACTTATTTTACCCTTGAATCATTTTTATACTCTTTCGTGGTTATTTTTAATAGCATTTTAATTTATTATATATATCTATATACACATATATATATTACCTTTTCCTTACAAAACTTCCAGTCAGACAAGCAGGAGATGAAAATATATCTTGGATGTCCCTACATTAGGAACAGAACAGTGGTTAAACCAAATCATACAGTATGCCTCCTTATAGCATGGCATTGAATAAAAGTACATCTTTTAAAATTGTCCTTCAAACTTCTCCCTCTGTCTACTATTTTTGTATGCATATTATTTTAGCATCTAAAACTCTACTCCATCTTACTGGTCAGAAAGAACGCACAACAACTAAATCTTCAAATAATTTCAAGCAAGATAAATATGAGGAAAATAAAACATACAAGAAAAGGTACCTTAATATACACTCAGAGCCAAACGCCTGAAAAGCAAGAAAAAGGCTATTGATCTAGAGTCCATACTTTCTTTGCAAGTACTTCTCTCTTACTTGACCAGACTCCATCCCAACGAACTATCAAACACCAACAATTAAAATATTCTCCAGTTCCACTGATATAAAGAACAAACAACAAATGACCAGAAAAATGTAAAATGGGAGGGAGAGGATACATACGCGCTACGTTTCATCTGAAAAACAGTAACTCTGATTAGCAGAAAATAGCTTCAACCATTGAACAATTTACAATGCTCCCGCAAAAAACCATGCACACAACGTAATTTTGCAACAAAGAACCAATAATTTCACAGAAGTAGAAAGCACACTACGCCTCAAAAAAACTAATCATCTACACCAAGGAGAAAATGAAAAACTCCATATAAATGAAGACACTGAGAGTAGTAATCTTTACAGGTTGCTAGAACACAATCCAACTGGCTTAGAGAAAGATTGCCCAAATTTGTCAGCTGAGACATAGGGGGTGCATACACAAGAGGTTCCAGGGTCAAAGGACTGGGAAACACTGCATACTATACTTCCTGCTCATAGAGTCACAACATAGATAAACATATTAAAGGCCCAGAAAAGTTATACAGTAAAGCAAGCTGTCCTCACAGAGCTTACATGTTAGTGGTGGATGATTAATTTTATGTGTCAACTTGGCTAGGCCATAGTACCCACATGTTTGGTCAAACATTATTCTCAATGTTTCTGCAACTTGGAAGGTATTTTTGTAGAATGAGAACTAAAAACATTTAAAAACTGAGACTTTGAGAAAGCAGATGTACTCTACACACATTAGTGAGTGAAGCATCACCACAAAATAACAGTGAGAAAAGAGAGAAAGACGAGTCATCCAAAGAAAGAGGGCACTCTGCCTCCAGGTTGCCTTGTTTTTTCTTTTTTTTTTTAGACAGAGTCTCACTTTGTGCTCGAGGCTAGATGAGGCTGTGCGCAGCCAGCTCACAGCAACCTCAAACTGCCTGGCTCGAGCGATCCTTCTTCTCAGCCTCCCGAGTAGCTGACTACAGGCAGCGCCCCGAACGAATCGCCGAATACACATATAGATAAAAATATTATATCAGTTTTGCCATTACGATTCTTTACTGATTATAGTAGGAGACGGAGATCCACTCTTGCTCAGCTGTTTGAACCTCCTTGACCTGAGCAATCCGCCGCCGCCTTGCCTCCAGAACTAGATTACAGGGCAGAGCCACCCAGCGCCAGGTTTTTTTTGTTTTGTTTTGTTTTCTTGAGACAGAGTCTCACTTTGTTGCCCAGGCTAGAGTGAGTGCCATGGCATCAGCCTAGCTCACAACATCCTCAATCTTCTGGGCTCAAGCGATCCTCCTGCCTCAGCCTCCCGAGTAGCTGGGACTACAGGCATGCTCCACCATGCCCAGCTCATTTTTTGTATATATATTTTTAGTTGGTCCATTAATTTCTTTCTATTTTTAGTAGAGATAGGGTCTTGCTCAGGCTGGTCTCGAACTCCTGATCTGGAGCAATCTGCCCGCCTGGGCCTCCCAGAATGCTAGGATTACAGGCATGAGCCAGCATGCCCGGCCTCCAGATTGCCTTTGGACTTGAGCTGCAACATCAACTCTTCCCTGGGTCTCCTACCTGCTGGACTGCCCTACAGATTTCTGATTGGCTAGTCCCTATAATCACATTGGCCAATTCCTTAAAATAAATTAATTTCTCTCTCTCTCTCTCTCTCTCTCTCTCTCTCTCTCTCCATAGTTAGACAGATAGATAGATAGGTATAAAGGTATACACATTCTATTGGTCTGTTTCTCTGGAAAATCCTGACTAATACACTAACGGGTCACAAGATCTCATACCTCTGTATTGTACAGAACCAGTTTGGGACATGCTACTTTAGAGAGATACATAAGCAGACAGTCAGACGAGTGGGGGGGTACCTTTTGGTACTCTGCCACTGTTTAGTCTCCACATCAGCAATCCATCTCTTTACTGTCCCTTCATTCAGCATAGGAATTTTCCTCCTCAGATTAACATAGGAATTCTGAAAAAAACAAAAAAGTAAAACACATTCATTCAGATGTGTCGGAAACAGGTACCCAACTTTCAGGCACGTTCTAAGAACACAGTAAAACGGATCTTTAAATATGAATAATACAGCTCTGGGACAACCATAAAAGTGAACCTCTACCAAGGAGTAATCAATCATTTGTTGGTGGCCACTTTCTTGTCCAAGGGGACTCGGACTCAAAGTAAATTTCCCTGAGTGTTCCAGCACTTTATACAAGGACAATCAGATTAAACTGAAAATCAGACAGTATAGAAGGGGAAATCTAGAAGAGCTGTGTGCAGAAGTGGGAAGAGGCTGGGCGCGGTGGCTCACGCCTGTAATCCTAGCACTCTGGGAGGCCGAGGCGCGAGGATTGCTCGAGGTCAGGAGTTCTAAACCAGCCTGAGCAAGAGCGAGACCCCGTCTCTACTATAAATAGAAAGAAATTAATTGGCCAACTAATTTATATATATAACAAATTAGCCGGGCATGGTGGCGCATGCCTGTAATCCCAGCTACTTGGGAGGCTGAGGCAGGAGGATTGCTTGAGCCCAGGAGTTTGAGGTTGCTGGTGCCGTGAGCTAGGCCTGCACGCCATGGCACTTACTATAGCCTGGGCAACAAAGCTAGACACTGTCTCAAAAAAAAAAAAAAAAAAAAAAGAAGTGGGAAGAACTTGATTTCCCTTGGTGAAAATAGGGCAGGGAAGTTATGGACTTATTATGTATAAGGCTATGGGTGTTTCTTTGTACTAGCTGGCAAAGTCATTTTTAGAATCTGTCACCCTGTTGGCTCACTGGGACAATGACCAAACACCATTGGCAAGGAGCCCCCCAAAAGGTAAGTAGAGTCTAAGGAAATCATACTGATTTGACATTCACCACGGGCGAAATCCTGGATTTTTGTGAGTAAATACTGATGAATTTAAACAATAAAGGATCAGTAATGTCCAGTTATTCCCCAAAAAGTCAGCCTAGTAACCTGAGGATTTTGGAATTCACTAAACCTAGATTCTAGAACTCTTCATTTTGCTTAAAACAACAAGTTATGGGACAGCTAGAGATTTATTTTTTACCTCTTTGTCCATCCAGAGAAGAATGCCTTTGATTCCTCGTCCGGCAATCATTATCAACTCCTTTTCTGAGGTATGGCTTTCTGAAAAGGATGCACAAAAAGTAAGAGTTTAGAAAGTCATTTGGCACAAACACGCATATTCAGTTTAAATAACTTCAGATTCTTCTTAAACATAGTCATTTTATCTTTTTAATACACAAAGACCCAACACATTTTCTGGCTATTAAGTAGTGAAATATATATAGTTTAGGCTGTGGTCCCCAACCCTGGGTACCGGTCTGGCGGTCTGTTAGGAACCACGGCAGCCGAGCTCTGCCTTCCCCCCCTCAATTCTATGGAAAAATTGTCTTCCATGAAACAGTCCCTGGTGACCAAAAAGGATTGGGGATCACTGCATTTAGGAGTAAAGCTAGTTGGCAAACATGGTAATTCATGAGGTTGATGTGTATTAATATATCAGTTTAATATACATAGTGTAAGTTAGAATGAAAGCTTAGGATAGTGCTCAAAACACACGAATATCTTGATTAGATCCGTCCCATTAGTTATTTCAGCTCCCCGTCTACTAGAAAACCCATGTGCTCCGGCCGGCCCGTGGTGGCTCACGCCGGTATAACCTGAGCTCTTGGGAAGGTGGAGGCGGGCGGATTGCTCAAGGTCAGGAGTTTCAAACCAGAGCCTGAGCCATAGAGCGAGGACGCACTGTCTCTACCTTAAATAGAAGAGAAATTAATTGGCCAACCCTGAATTATGTAATAGTACAAAAAAAAAGAAATGAGCCGGTGGCATGGTGCTCCATGCTGTAGCCCAGCTACTCGGAGTGAGCTGAGGCAGAAGCAGAAGGAATCGCTCGAGCCGCAGGCGTTTGGAGGTTGCTGTGAGCAGCGCTGGACGCCACGGCACTCACCTCTAGCCTGGACAACAAAGCGAGACTCTGTCTCAAAAAAAAAAACAAAAAAAAAAAACCATGTGCTCAATTAATTAAG